CTTTCAAACTGTGTAAAGCTGGTTTGGGATTAGGCACCATTACACATCTACAGAGCAGTTTTTTTTTTGAATGAATTGCATAAAAACACTACATCAGCATTTTCATAATCACACCCCTCTACATCACACTGTCACTGCCCATGTGAGCACTTAAGTCCCAGAACAGGACAAAGTAGTCCACAGCTGGGACAGCTTTCAGTACCCTGGGTATCTGAACTGACATCTTGTACACAAGAATAACCAGCAATCAGAACCCAGTTACCTGGAAGTGCAGGTAAACAATGCTTTTCATTTCATCTGGACGCAAATAACAGCTCCACCTCTTCCTGTGCAGCTTCCAGTGCCTGTCCAACACACTGGTTCCAGTCTTTCTTGTAAATAGACATCAAATATTAGCTTTTTCTTTCAGAAAAAGAGCCACCTTCTGTCTACTCTTAAAGCAGCACATTACCATAATGTTACCATGGCTCAGTCTGACTTTTATCCATCACAGCAACGTGAATATTGACCAGTCAGACGCGCACGTCTTATTGGACAATTGGACGTATCGGTCTTAAATATAACCTGCCTGCCGAGTTTTGCATCAAACAGTATGTTCAACAACAGGAAGCCATTAGTGTTGGATAACCTTTTATTACAGCACACAAAATAAAAACAACAAATTCAGGGAAACAACATCTCAGTCTGCGTTTCTTACTGAGAACAATGACAAAGCAAGGATGCCTTTGGATATTCAGACGTACCCTCTCTTTACGTCTGCAAGTGACAAGAGAAAACAAACTCGTCTGTGCTAAAACTAAATCGAAATCACCTACATTCATTAGGCCTTAATCTTAGATGTGGTAAACCAGCAGTCAGTGCCAATAACTCAAGAGTCACGCTCCCCATTCTGCTGCCCCGACCCGATCACTGTGGTCCCAGTCTTTAAAATCCGGGGTCAGACCTTGAATCCTTCAAGGACATCAGGACATGGAACAACAGCTTCTCTGTTAAAAAAGCAACGAGTTCTCCACCAGCCAATCTTTCCTTAGGTGGGATCAACTTTTTCATCAAGGAAGTCAGCAGAGTTCAGGGCGTACAGCATCCTTGTTCCTATGAAAATCAAAGTGGGGCCAGCTTCAAAATGAAGAGTGTAATGATTGTGTTTCCAGTTTCCATCAGCTATGACCAGTACAGGCTGTGTTTGTATGGAAGTTGGGTTTTATTTATATTGTGACACAGGTGCTGTAGTTACTTTCAAACCAGCAGAAGCAATGGTGTGACTGGTGTGATGAAACCCAGAGAGAAATGTGTGGGACCTTATTTACACAGTTCATATGGGATGTATGGTGGAGCAGGAGCCAGCTCTTTACATTTTAATCATGCAGTTGTGTGAAGAGAAGGTACCGACTTCAATCACTCAGGTCCTCATATTGCACTCAGCTGCATTTAACAGGAAAGGAACAAATGCAAACTCTTATTAATTACATATTTACTTTAGCTGTTGATGGAGGTTCATATGACACCGTCGACCTCACATTCTCTCTAAAGCAGACAGGCTGCTGTAAGATTTTCTTTACAAAATATCCAATATATACATTGGCATTTACAAGTAACCATTAAAAAAGGCAAATAATAAATCATAAAAGGAAAACAACTCATTTACAGTGCAAAAACACCTGCAGAGGAGGAAATAGAGCCCAAACACAAACAGAATAGAAACAGTCTTGTTACAAAATGTCAACCTGCCTGTGATGCTGTAAAGGAACAGATTCATTATTGCTGTGCTTGTGTGTTAAGTGATTCTAAAGCTTGATTTCACCCTGAGGAACAAAAAGAAGAGAATGCAACGGCCACCGAGCGATTAAATATGTGCACTTTAAATCAACATTGCGACCCCCATGGAGCTCGTTTCCATGTGAGCGTGAATCAGATATTTTGGGTGGGTTGTATGAGAAGAGTCCACCTGACCAGCCTCAGCACCACGGACAGGCCCAGTAATGCCGGGGCATAATTTCAGCGACACCAGCTCCACGTGCTGAGGAAACGTAGCCTCCATCGCCACCTGGTATTAACATGTGCTGATGTGACACAGGCAGGCCTGCTTCACTGTCTGAGGTGTAGAGCACCAGCAACCTGGATATTAGAGCTGCTCTGCAGGTCGTTAACAGGCCAAAAGGTTGTATGAATTTGTCCTTTTCACCCACGCTCAGGTACCAGGCTCGTCTTCAACATGATAAACAGTCAATTTTAAACGTCACATTAAATCTAACATATTATTTCTATATACTCTAATGTGCAAAGCTGGTTATGGGAAAAAATCATGCTGAGCTTTTGAGGTTTTAGAATATGCTAAAGAAATCATAAAGAATAATCAAGTGATATTAAGGGGGTCGAGTGGATTTTGTATTGAATGAGCCACGTCGTTGACCTCGTGCAGTCTTGCTCCCTTGTGGACGTGCACGCGGTCAGCTGCAAACACCACAGAGTAGTAGTTACTGGCATCATACTTTTTAGGTTGCTTGGAATCAGCCTGAAGGACACGTGCATAGTTGGTTTACTGTAGTGCAGTGCCTCAGTTTGTAAAAGTTGGAGGCTGGATGTAGCCTCCAGGTCTAAAAAGAACCTCTGTGGTCAGCAGGAGATGAAATACTTGTATAGAAGTCTATGGGAAAATAACCCCCAGCCAACTTTCCTGATTAGTTTCAGTCACTAGTGTAAGTGTTCGTTCTGTTAAATATGGCGTCCTTCAGAGGCAGGCGGGAGGATGATGTTGGCTAACAAACCGTTAGCGTCCTTCTGTTTCTTAGATCTGCCCCTCGCTTATTGTGGCCAGTTTTAAAACACTGGCTTCACAATCACGTTACAGTTACACCTTCAGAGGTGATCCAGCTGATCCACTAACAGTCGGACTCGTGTGTGTTGCATTTATGCTAAACATATTGCAGACACAAGCCACATATTAATACCAGGTGTTAGTTTGCTATGACTGTAGTGAATCTCTTATATGGTGGCATCACGTGCATACACAGGGCTGTTTCTTACAGTGTCACACACATTCAGCCTAAAATCTTCATCAACCCTTATTAGGGCCTTAACAAATCCAGATGTTTACACCTGCACAATGTAATACAATCCAGTGCAACAAGCTGCAAAGACCTGACCAGCATCGATCTTGTTTTTGTGGTAACGAATCAAATTATTTGGTATCAAGCTTTGTCTTATGTTGTGCAACATATGTATCCATGTAAGACAGGTCAAATCATGTAAATATGCAGAGACTCCATGGACAGGCTTGTCCCTCTGCTGTCCTCTCATGCAAGCACACACCGAGCTCCTCCATGTTCAGTCACTGTCTCAGGGTTGTCAGGCAGAAGAAGCAAACAACAGCAAACACCAAGTTCAATAAAACATCCCTTTTCTCATGAACATCAGTCTCTGAAGACATCATCATCCACACTTCTCTCTCCTGTCACAGAACCAGCGCTACAGCAACAACAGGTGACGTATTGGGACGATGAACTTCATCTGGTCTTTGTCGGGGTCACATGACACATTCATACGGAGAAAGGTTGGAAACACGAAGCAGGGAGACGTTTTCACTACAGGAAAGTTTACTACATTTTTAATGAACTTCATTCATTCATTAAGCAGCTGCTCACCCTAACATGACACAAGCCCAACCAAACCCCTCTGCAGTTGGTCAAAGTCAGTAAGGTAGTGAACCAGGCCGTACACCACAGGCACACGTGCAGCTGTAAGCCACACTGGGGAGGGTTTGCTCGTCATGTATCGCTGTGATGCTGATGGCTGGTCGCTTGCATACACTCCCCACTCTGGTTAGCTAATGTGGCTTAAATCAGTGGTAACCTGCACTCTCATTGGTAGTCCCTTTTGGTCTCTGGTCACCGCGTCGCTGCACTTACTTTGAGTGTGGCTGCAGTTTTACGCAGATGAGTGGAACGAGGCTGAAAAGTTATGATTTTCATTTATGAATGTTTAAGTGGTTGATACACCGTTAGCAGTACTGCTCAGGTGTAACGACTAAAGCACAGACCGTGTGTTCAGCACAGCTGATGGTCATAATGTGTCCTCACATAAATGACTATTTCAGCTGAAAAGTCCAACTGAAGTTCAAATCAGCACAAACTTGCTTTGAATCAATCAAAGCTTGGCCCGAGGTCTACAGTTCCAAGTGAAACCTGTGGATGGCATCGGCCCAGCTGTGATGTGGACTTCTCAGCGCAGCAGTGCTGAAAGGATTGTGGACATTAACAAAGTCAGACTCTTGAACCTCAGACTCTCACTGTGACTCCAACATGTCGTCTTTCCATTCTAACAAAGTATGAGCAGGGAGAACATGCCAGCGTCACACACACAGGGCCTGATGTGAGCCTTTCTTTGTGAGCACACAGCACTAACTGCTGCACCTTTGTTGTTGTGACGTAGTATCTAACCAGAAACACAAAGCAACACACGAAAAGATAAGCATCATCTTCATCGTTATTACAGATCTGTTCACAGTAGGATTCCCACATTTCAATTGTCTGAAATGTAAATAAAACCAGAATACAACCATTTGTACTTTATTCACAATATAACACAGAAAACTTATCAAATATTTAAACTTCAACATTTGACTATTTCAAGAACATTAGTGGCTCATTTTAAATTTGATGGCAGCAGCAAAATGTGAGACAGGGCAACAAAAGCTGAAACGTAAGAGATCCAACAGAGGAACAGCTGATTTGGTTACCTGGCAACAGGTCAGCAGCATGACCAGGTGAAGAGGATCACCAATCTGCAAGAAACTACGTGTACAATTAACAGATCAGAATAACGTGCTGCGCTGCAAAAGACTGTGAACGTCTGATCCAGAGTAATAACAGCATCAAAAGATGCAGAGAAATCTGTGTGTGCAAGGCTGAAGCTCAGTGCTGAGCTTCAGCCTTGCACACACAGATTTCTCTGCATCTTTTGATGCTGTTATTAGCGCTGAGCTTCAGTGCTGAGCTTCAGTGCTGAGCTTCAGCCTTGCACACACAGATTTCTCTGCATCTTTTGATGCTGTTATTAGCGCTCAGCACTGCCTGTCACCTCCAGGTGTGAGTCTGAGTTTCAGCTGGAACACAGCTCGCTGTGCCATCCACAGATCACACATGTGAACACGATGCAGACACTCTGCTGTCCTCTCTGGACCAACGCTCATTTAAAATGGACTGAGGCAAAGTGGGAAACTGTTCTGAGGTCAGCCAAAACGACATGTTTGGACTAAAGATGGGAGGAAGAGTCTGCTTTGTTACCAGCACTCAGCCTTCATCACTGATGGTGTGGAGGCGCATTAATGCCTATGGAATCAGCAGCTGGCACATCTGGCCATCAATGCAGGAAGGTGTATACAGGTTTTAGAGTATTTTTCAGGAGAGACCTGCATATTTCAGCAGGACAACACTAAAGCACACACTGCAGCTGTTCCAGCAGCACAGCTTCACACAGTGGGAAACGTCCGTCTTTTCGTTTTAAAGATGTGCCATCAAATTCAAAACGTGCTATTATTCTTAAAATGGGAGATTTGTTCAGTTTAAATATCTGATCTGTCTTTAGTTCTGCTTTTCTTTACATTTTAAACAGAAGGGGCTGCATGAGTCTAAGCTCAGACTGAGTGTCTGTGGAAATCTGTTTTCAGCTAAAATAGGCTCATCTCAATGCACAACAACAAAAAGAAAGAAGAGGACTTCAGCAGGTTAGCATGGGCTGACATATTTACTCGTTAACGACCACACTCCAAACAGCTGGTTTACACTGACTAGGTTAACCAGCAGATAATCTTACTGCACAGGGCTTCGGTTTATAAATGTGTCTGACAAAGCATCAGATAGTGATTGGTGCCATTCACTGGTGTTACTGACCTTTGACCTCATCGTCCCAATAGTTGTGCCTGTCATTTCCAGCGCTCTCGCTCTGCAGCAACCATTGCACTCCCACAAAAGTACAAAACATAGTTCGTCTCATCATCTGCATTAAAAATACTTTACAAACATTTTACTGCTTGTTCCTGTGTCAGTGAACTGCTGTATGCCGTTTATCGTCGAGTATTGAGCCAGCTAAGGAGACTTTGTGTGTTTGCAGAGTCCTGCACACTCTGAACAGTTTGTCTATTGCTTTGCCTTCATGTAAAGTGTGTGTGTGACTTGTGTGTACATGTAAGCTGTGTATCTGTCCCTCGAATTCCCCGTGTGGTTCACAAGTGTGTCTTTGCCATTTGGTGTGTTGTTTTTACATATGTGAAAAAGTCCTTCTGTTGGCAGTTCAACGCGTGCATGTGATGCCATTCATGTTTACATCTTTTAGTCTCTGTGTGTGTGTGTGTGTGTGTGTGTGTGTGTGTGTGTGTGTGTGTGTGTGTGTGTGTGGGTTTAAGAGGACATGCCATTGACCAGACTCCTCAGCTGCTTGACTACAGTCTCTATCAGCTTCTGTTTGTCTCTGTCATTCTTCCTGAACTGGGAGAAGATGTTGTTCTTCTTACTGGTGTCCTTCATCCTGCACACAGAGACACATGGAGAGGATCACTAACAAATGATTCAGTGAGAAAAAACAAAAACACTTCCTCATGTAGTGGAGACAAAGACGGTTTTGTCTGCAGACGGCTCAGTTGAGCTACGTTAGCTCTGGAACATTTGTATTTCAGCTCGTTTGAGTCTGGTGTGGAGTAAACAGCTGAACTTGGATCAAAGCACATCAACAAAACTTTAATGGGAATTGAAGATGCTTGACTGTGTGATGGTATTTGAACAGAGGACTGTGGGTGAGGGAACAATGGACCAGAACTAACTACGACATGTCCTGTTAAAAAGCAGAACGACTGTCCAAAGGTTTGCCTGCTCGTAAAGGATTTCTTCTAAAGAATTCCACCTTTAAATACGGTGCATTAAAATAAATGTGTTATTGGACCTTAATAACAGCATTGTTTCTCCTCCGTCTCACCATGATTTGACAGCCTCTGATTCTGACTTGAATGTATTTTTTATTTGGACGTCTCCCTCTCTTATGAAGATGGCCTTCAGTCATTTAGCTCATTCTCTCCAGTTACACTAAATACTTTGTTTAATGGGTAAGATCAAATCCCCCTCATTTTGCCATCTGTCTTGGATCTTTCACAAGCATTTCCACAAGCTTTGATCCTGGCTCCATTATTATTTTCCTTTTACATCCTTACTTTAGTCAGTATTGTTTCATTGTTTTTAAGCCTTCTTATTAATTCTGTGCCTATGACATTCAGTTGTATGTGTCTCTGAACAGGCTGTCCACCTGACTGTTTATCCTGGATTAGTAACTGGCTCCAATGACTCAGGCTATTATGGCCCCTCCTGTAATACATGTAAGAATCAGTGAAGTGCTTCTTGTTGCTCATCTGCAAAGATCAGCGTTCATCATTTTGGCCTCACAGCTGGTTCCTCTCTGAGGTTTGGCCCACATATGAAGTCCTTATGTTCCTGTTTCTTTTTGGAACAGCATATA